GCTCTATTTGGAGATGAAGCGAATGGTGGCCATGTAACCAACGACGGCGAGGAAGATCATGACTCCAATGATACCAAAGAACCAAGCCAGCGTTCCTTGATCCTGACCAGGCACGTTCACGTTCATACCCCACAGACCCGTGATGATGTTCATTGGCACAATCACGGTACCGAGCGCCGTCAACTTGCTCAGGACGTCGTTGATCTGATTGTTGGCGTCGGTCATTTCGATGGAGATCTGTGCCAAGTAGTTGGAGTGACTTCTCGAAAGAATCTTTTCGTAGTGGTTCAGATTCTGGGTCATGGTGATCAGATGGTCTTGAATGTCGGAGAGATACAATCCAATGTCGCTCTTTGGAGCGACGGACCAATTTTCATTGCAACGTTTGGCCAGCCCTTTCACGACGTCCGCCTTGTTGCCCATAAGACGTAAGAGACCCATGACTTTCTTGCGGCAGGTGCCGATTCTCCGAAGCATATCAGACTGCTCGGCTTCCTTGAGAATGAGCACCAGCTCGTCGATGCTGTCTACTTCGTACTCGATGGACTGGATGAGGGGGCCGAACGCGTCCGTGATGTCGTCGATGAGGGCATAGCTGATCCAATCCGACGTGACATTGATGTAGTCCTTGAGTTGCTTGATGCGCCTGCGAACATTTTGGGGGTGAGGCGTGGCCCTGAAGTGGAATGATAAAGTGCCCTCTCTGAACACGATGATGTACATGTTCAATGGCTCCAAATACGTGGGACTGTATGGATCCTGATCGAAGGAGCGGAAGCAGACCAGGTAGTAGTTTCTGTTGCAGAGACGCAGGCGGTCAGCGAAGCACGCGGTGACGTGGCAATGGACAAGTCTCACCTAAAAAGCTCGATCTTTTCGCGCGTTTCTTCCATGAGAATATCTTCTGTTGTCAATGGATGAATACCAAACACCTGTGCGGGCACGCGGGTGTCAGTCCTCCTGCGCGGACCAAGCCGACCAGGAATTGCCTAAAGACTCACCCGACTAAGAAGTTTCATTTCTTGGTCCGTTGGGCAAAGCACGTCTAGCCACCAGGTGTTCGCTTCCGGGTCCTGGTCCATCCTGATCCCACCACCCGGCGCGACTCTCGCAGGCAACATTGCCTGTGAATTGCGAGCGGCGCTGGTCATAGTCGGGATTCGTTGAAAGGTGCTTTGATTGCCCGCACTCAGCGGAGCTGCTGGCAAGGGCCCGGCGCTCAGCTCTGGAGTGTTGCGACCCGTGGGCGGCTGTGTGCCACCTTCCATTCTGCCAAGCTGAGCGGCAAGCACGGACGTCTGCCGCAAAGGCCTGGCATCTTTGCCGTTGATATCCAGCTTGCTGCTGCCGGTGCCCGCAGCGGGAGTGTTCGCGCCACCGTTCATGCCACCGTCCTCTCCTTCAGCCGGAGTCTGATTCCTTGTGACACCCTCGCTGTCTGAAGCAGGGCTGATGCCGCTAAAGAACTCTTCGAAGGTTTGACCAGGAGCAGGGAGCTCAGCCAAATGGCGGGCATGAATGGTGGATGGGAGAGCGTTGGAGTAGAAGGTAAAGCGGTACGGCTTCTCTGCGGTCGAGCGGGATCCAAACCCTGCGCCGCTACGCCGACGTTGAGCAGCGCTCAACGCACCTCGACCATGTCCATGATCGAAGTTGGCGCCCATGCTCTGTGAGCGTGGCAACTTCGGAGGCCCGTCCCCATCTGCGCCGTCTCGGTCCGGTGAAACGTCGTAAGCGGATGTGTATGAAGGCACGGGCGGATCACCGAGCAAAGGCGTCTTTGCATCCTGTGTCTGATTCGCCTGCCGTGCTCGAATGGCATCTTCGGTCATTAGAGCACCCGACCCCATGATGTTTGCAGCACCGCTCACTGTCGATGCTCGACCCCCTACAGCAGGGGGAGGTGGAGACGTTGCTGACCCTTCGAACAGTGCGAGCTTGCGCTGGTACTTGCTTCCGCCAGCTGCAGTCTGGGGACCACCTTTGGATTGTGCTGCGGCGGCGTCCGCTGGTACGAAGCGCCGAGGTCGGCGGCTGTAGAATGTTGCATCGTCAGAGTCTGGGCTCGCGCCGTATGCTGTGCTACCATAGTTGTCTGCTCCGCTTTGGGAGCGCATAGCAGCATGCCGATTGCGCAGGCCTGTGCCGAAGGTTACTGGAGGAGCTGCGCCAGTCGTCAAGCGCTCGCGCTCCTCCCTGGCAAAATCTTCTAGGGCAGACAAGTCAAAGTTGAAGGGATACCCAGGAGGTAGGCGCTGGTCGTCGTGAGGCTCGCAGTGCAGGTCTTCTTCATTCTCAGCCATTGCAGGTCCATGCGAGTGAGGGCCAAGAGCATGACGCGGGGTCGCAGCGCTCCCGTCGCGCAAGAGATCCTGCCCTTCGGCGGTGTGGGCGTTGAGCGGGAAGCAGACGTCATCCTCAAGAGCGCTGGGTCTGCGCGACATGGTATGAGGCGTGCTGACTCCATGATCACCTCGCACATCTGTTGGCGAAAGTCCCGCTCCAGGCGGTCCCTCGGTATCGACGAGCGCGGACTCGTCTTGCGCTCGAAGGGCAGATGGGCTGCGAAGTCCGCTTCTAGCAAATGACCTGGAGCCGCTGCCTCCAAAGGCAAGGCTTCCAGCTGCTTGTAGACGCGAGGGACTGGCTACGTACGAGCCAGCATGAGGACCGAAAGCTTGATTCGAGCGATGGTCAATGAAGTGGTTCGCCGAGTCGAGCGAAGTGTTTGAGCCGTGCCTCCGTTGCTGGTAAAAATGAGCAGCAGCTGCAGCAGCTTCTCGTTGCTCTTGATGTTGCCTGTAAGCAGCAGGAGAGGTTCCGGTGGCGAATGTGTAAGCTCGATGAGGCGAGGTGCTGTGATGAAGACGCGACGGGTCCAATTGGGTGTCCACCTCCAGAGCGGGCTCGGGCAACTCTGTGTGAGAAGGTCGACGGGTTCCATAAGGTATCTGAACTCTTGGTGATAGCGGCGAGTGATGAGCACCTGCATTGCTGCCTGCTCGAGCTCTGGACATTTGCCTTGCGGCATCGAGATCTTGCTCCATCTGCTGAGCGGCCGCCGAGGAGGTTCGGTGTCCACCTGCGCGCAGGCCCTGACCTGCTATGGCAGATTCGTGGGAAGTGCGGGGCGCCACATCAATGCCAGTAGCATCCGCCAAAGCGTTGGACCCGTCCGGCGGTGGGGAGACAGTTCGACCAGGAGAGGCCATGACGGGAGATGTGTCTCCAGAGCCTTTGGCTTCTTCAAGTCTTTGGCCGTCGTGTCTCTTCGTCTAAGGAGCACCGCTAGGCCGAGCAGTGCAATGCGGTTGCGGTGAGAAGGACCGATCGCAAGCAATGGGAGTGGTCGGCTCGTGTGGCGCAACGGAGATTTGCCAATCTGAACCGCAGATATACCTGCCTTGGTTGAGCGTCTGAGTGAGGGGTCGATCGAGTTGTTGGCCAGGGCTGATGAGGAAGAAGCAAGAAGTGAAGTTGGCGAAGTGAGTAGATCTCAGCACACAAGCAGCAGCAGGCAGGGTTTGCTCGCGCATGTGGCTTTTCCTTCATCTCGGCCTTCCTAGCGAAAGACAAAATTAGGCGCTCGTTGAGCTCACGCGCGGTATCGCACTATCCAAGCAGCCATCGACTTTTGAATTTAGCTGCACCATGGGCCCTTCGAG